TCACAATTTCTTTGTAGTTTATAAAACAATGGCCCTTCTAGTAATGCTATCAACTGCTCCTTCAACGGAACATAAATAAAAAAATTTCCATCGCGTTTTAGAGTTGTCTTAGAATATCTACTATTACAAGTTACACAAGTAATTCTGTTATTCCCATTAAAATTTAATGAATTAGTATAAGTTGGGCAATAATAATGCGTTTTAATGTCAGTTACTTTAGAAAATCTTTTTAAAAAGAGATATTTTGAAGAATTTAACGGAACAGGAAGATAAGCATAGATTAACGAAATAAGGTCCCCTATTTCAGCTTCATTTAATTCAAGGCGAATTGCATGTCTCGTTATGAGCAGATCACTTTCTTCTATCGTCAAAGGACAGCCTTCAAAAATAACTTTTCTCTCCTGCAAATATAACATATATAATAATATTTCTGGAAATAACAACACTGTCTACAAATAAAAAATATTGGAATTTATAAATTGAACTATAAAAAGGAATACTTGAGCGATTCTGAACAAGTTCAATCACATCTTAAGTCAAATCACTGATTTGTTTTCAAAGTTTATATAAAATAAGTATACAGATAAGCATTTGTGTACTTCTATGTAATTTTTGCTCAAAATAATTAGTCCAAAGATTAAAACAAAAAGGATAAACAAACTTTGTTTTTAATTTCACAAAAAATCTTGAACTTTTATATACTTGTACATATTATTAAACAATCATATTTTTCCATTTTTGACAAATTTAATATTATTGTAATTTAAGAGAAACTGCCGTCTAAAGAGCAATTTGTTTCCTTAATCTTTTTTTTGTTGTCTTAATCGAAGATGTTTGTAAAATATCAACTTTTATTTGGAAAAAATTTTGTTATTTCTAAAAACGTCTTTGCAATAACCAAATCAAACAAAAAAAATCAAAGGTGCATTATTCATTCAATGTATAATTTTACGACAATTGCTACTATTCCGACCTTTTTACTATTCCTACACTTTTTGAGAAATAGCGTTTAAAAGAAGAGATTTGTTTATTCTCTTTGCAATAACTTTTGACCTAATTAATATTTAGAATTAAAATTACACACAGACGCTTATCTTGATTGATATACACACATATCATAATATTACACACAGACGTTTATCTTGATATATAATAAAAATATATAAACTTTAAAAAAATAAGTGACTTGACTTTAAAACACAAATTCGTTTAAAATCGCCCAACTACTCAACGAAACATATAACTGAGAAAAATTCAGGTTAACTATCAAAGAATTTTGACAAATAAGAGATTACTTTGACTGAGATGACCATAATGTAGAAGTAAATAGCAATATAAAAATTGAAAACAATACAAGAAGTATTTGTAAATGTTGCAAAAATGTGACGTATTGTTGTAAAACAATTCTAATTTAAACATTTAATTTATCGCATAATTTATATTGTTCACAGAAATTAAATAATAGCAGAAATAAGTGTATTATTAACATACTTTCCATTATTTGTATTAGTACAAGAATCAATATTGCTCTATAAATAGAATAACAAAATAAAATGTTTCTTTTTTGTTTTAATAACATTTTTTACATGCTAATATTTTTATTTTAATTTGTAGGAATTGTATTGCTAAAATAAATCTAAAACTACAATAAGTCAAATTAATAAATTAACTGTTTATTTATATACTAATAATAAATGTGTATTAACTAATAAAAAATAAGTCTTTAAATACATATATTTATTGGGGAAAGAAGTTAGAATTGTAAAAATGTGCAATGTACTTAGGAATCGGCGTATCCCGTTGATATAAAAAAATAATTAATAAATGAGTAAAAATTTGCATATGCTTTGTTTTCTGTTTTAGATAAGAAATAAAAATGTTAATTACATTAATTAATAAGTAGTAAATCTTGTCAAAATTCAAAAACTATTTAAGAATTATGATTACTGTTATTGAATATTTAATAACATTACTTTCTGCATGTAAATAAATAAATATCTAAATATATATGTACATTACAAATAAATAAATATATATATACAGGGTGGACCATTTTAATCTATCCAGTCGAATATCTCGAAAAATAAGCACACTAGGAAAAAATGTTTCAGACAAAAGTTGTAGGGCTTCGAGGGGACATAAGATGATAACATTGGTTTGACCCTGAGTGGCGTCGTCAAGGTCAGGACAAGGTCACCTTGAATTTTTTAAATGGAAAACCCCCAATTTTTCATTACATGTTCTTATAGCACGCCTCGAGAACTTTACCAAAACACATAAATAAAATATTTTTTTATAAAATAAATCTTAAGTTATGAAGCTTGAAAGTTGAAATACTGTCGGCATTAGCATCATCTAAGGTGTCCAAACACTAGCTAAAGATGGCCAAGATCATTGGCCTTTATCAATGTCATGATCCTGAACAACATTC